AAAAAAAATACCGTGCCTTGAGTAGAGCTCACCTTAGATTTCAATTAACATCCTTGCTCTTCAATCCTCTAAAGAGGTCTTGTGCAGCAGATTTACCTAATGCAACTCTGATCTCTTGACTGCTGCTTCCATGAGCATTGATTGTAGATCCAAGCAAGACAGAATCCTTGACAACTTCAGTTTCTCTCCACTGATCATGATATTACCTATTGGTCCAGTTGTGATGATTTTGGCCTTGACATTAAGTCGGAAGACTGTAATCCTTGATCTTTATCAGTAAGTGCTTCAAGCCCTCCTCACTTTCAGCAAGCAAGGTTGTATCATCTGCATATCATAAGTTATTAATTCTGCAATCCTGATGCCACATTCTTCTTCATCTGATCAAGCTTCTATGATGATTTGCTCCTCATACAGATTGAACAAGTTACGGTGAGAAGATACAACCCTGATGCACACCTTTCCTGATTTTTAAACCACGCAGCTTTCCCTTGTTCCATTCTCATAGCTGCCTCTTGATCCATGTACAAAGTTCCACATGGGCACAATGAAGTGTTCTGGAATTCTCATTCTTCTCAAGGTTATCCATAGTTTTGATATGACCCACACAGTTGACTGCTTTGGCATAGTCAATAAAACTTTCTGATATTCTCTGCTTTGAGCCAAGCTCCATCTGACATCAGCAATGATGTCTCTTGTTCCATATCCTCTTCTGAATCTGGCCTGAAACTCTGGCAGCTCCTTGTCAATGTTTTGCTGCAATCATTGTTGGATAACCCCATTTTTGTAAAATGTAGTTCATTTGTGTAAAAGTGTATCTCACCAGAGATATAGTCAATTAATATGGTCCTTCTAGCCATAACTGTTTATATGGTGTATTATCATTCTGGACTCTCTGCCTGTGGCTATAATCCCATTTTGGAAGAAGTTCTCTACTAATGGTCAGGATTAGGGTAGTTTAAGACCTGATTTTAGTAAAGGGTGTGGACCAAGCCACATGTTGGGTTTCCTTGGGGTCATCTTTAAGACTACTAGAGGAGACAGGATCCTTCATTTTCCTGGGGAGTATGCTCAGATAAAAGACAAATCACTCCTCCATCAAACCCATTTCTCAATATGCACACGCCATGTGGGAGAAAGATCAGAGGATTTTGGAAGAGTGTGTCCAAAATGTCTGTCTGAAGTGGTAGAGGCAGCCAAGACCAGATGCAGCAGAGACCGTGGCTTGGAGACTCAGAGAAGCAGGGCAACTTCTCTTCATCTGGCCTGCGGTTATAGGACTAAGACAGAGCGACAGGCAGGCTGGCTTCCTGCTCCATGAAGGCGAAGGCCAAGGGACCATGTGACTGAGAGGCTGAGAACAGGACCGGAGAGAGACTTGGCTGCTGACTGTGGAGAGGTGTTGCTGTAGCCAACGACTGTATCTTCACGGTTTGCTGGCCTGACTTGGGATAACCTGTTAGCTTCTTTAACGAGTGCCCTCAGTTGTGAGTATTGTCTGGGAGTTCTGTGAGGCCGTTGCAACAAATCTTAGAACCTAAACGAAGAAGCAGATGGTGTTGTTTGAGTCAATGCAGCTGGTACATGGTGATACCATTTCTGGGAGGTGAGCAGTGTCTTTGACCATCGTGCGTGGCTACCTTGAATTGAAGATGGCTAACACCAACTGTAACTACCACCTGGGAATTTGTTAGGCGCCCTAGTGACATAGTGGGTTATACCACTTACAGTTGGGCTGCTGACTGCAGAGTCACCAGTTCAAAACCACCATCCGATCCTCTGGAGGAAAGTGAGGTTTTCTACTCCAGTAAAGAACTACAGTCCTGGACACTCAAAGGGGCAAGTTCTATCCCGTCCTATAGGGCTACTATAAGTCAGAATCAACTATAAGTTGGAACAGATTTGATGATACTGAGTTGGTTTGTTTTTGGGGGGGCAGGGGGAGAAAGGGGGACTTGTTAGCAGTGGTGAGGGAGGCTTGACTTTAGCTTTCTATCCAGCTATACCAGTGGTTCTCAACCTTCCTAATGCCACGACCCTTTAATACAGTTCCTCATGTGGTGGTGACCTCCCCCGCCAACCATAAAATTATTTTCGCTGCTACTTCATAACTGTCATTTGGCTAATGTTATGAATCTGTCAACCCCTGTGAAAGGGTCATTCGATCCCTAAAGGGGTCTCTACCCACAGGTTGAGAACTGCTGATTTATGCAGTTGTAAAATAATTTAGAACTATATACATGTATCCTTCTCACTAAAATGAAGGTGTGCTTCTCTCACCACACACTTTGTATGGGCTGTCTCCCTGGGTCTTTCTGAGCAGCCTTTGTTTCTCTGTCTCTGTCTGTCTGTCTGTCTGTCTGTCTAGGAGGGGCAGCTGTGAGTCAGGACAATAGGCTTTGGTTTGGGGAGGAACTGAGTGCTCATGAAGTCATCAGGCCACCCTGGGCTTTTTCAACTTTGCAGGGTTCAGCTGCTACATCTGGCTCTTTTCTCAGACCGGTTCTCCCACTGCCTGTGAATCCATATGCCAATGAGCAGCTTGGGTGTCAGTTTTTCTCCACCCTCGCTCCCTGCAGCTCCCCTTCCCGTGGCTGCTCTTGCTCCACTCAGAATACACTGGGTTGCCCAGAGCCCAGGGGAGCCCTTGGCACTCCGGGATCAAGTCTTGCCTGTGGCGCAGCAGGTGCGTCTCTGCAAGGGCTCGGAGGACATCCGATCAGTGCCGCTTTGGTCTCGCTTTTTGGGAATTGATTGAAAAATGTGGGAAAAAGCAGGCCCAGACCTGCTGCTGTTTAGACTTAAAATCCCCAAGGTGCTCCGGAAGGAGACGGGGTTTTTCCAGACCTGACCCAGCCCTCCCGTTCGGGCACTGCATCCGTCCCTGGTTCCCTGCCGTGGCACACGCGGTTTACAGCACCCACGCCTTGACCTGGTTTGAGAAGCTGGCATGGAGTGGTGCCACTTTATGGTTTTGCAATTAAAGAGGCAGGCGGCATAGCTTGGGATTCAGAACTGGGTACGCCCTCTTGAAAGAATTGCCACATTTATCGACAAATTAGCATGGGAGAGGTAAAGTCACACCCAAGCCCTTTTGCCTCACGGCTGCTGTCACTGTTGTTAAAACGCTTCCCTTGGGACCTTTTTCGGTCACCGGCGTCTTTCCCTGGAGAACATGTTTTAGGGCAGAAGGACCCGAGCAAGCTGGGTGTCTGTGGGGGCTGTAGGTGGCCAGTTCGGGCCTTGGTCTCACATTTCTCCACACAGAGACCCAGAAGATCCAGGTGCTCTTGTTGATTAATCAGACTCGGGTATTGAGCAAGGCACTTTGGGTGTGGCTGGGTTTATTCTTAAAGGACCCCTGGTGGCATAGGGGTTACTGGTTGGGCTGTGATACTCAAGACCAACAGTTCGAAACCACCAGCCCCACCTTGGAGAAAGCTGTGACTCACTACTCCCGCCATCAGTAACAGTCTGGGGCACTCATGGGCAGTTCTACTCTGTCAAGAGCGTCTCTGTGAGTCGGCATCATCGACACCAGGGCAGTGAGTTTGGTTTTAGGTGTGGGCCTGCCCTTCAGTAGTCCGCTCATCTGATTTGGGGGTGTTCAGTTGTGCCAGCAGCTCCCCCTACCCCCCAGTCTTGGTCAATTAACCGGAGAGTTTGGAGCATGGGTAGACGGGGTGGAGATAACAGGCCCTTTGGTGTGGAAGGTGTTGTGAGATACAGCTAGTACTTCAGAGGTGTGGCCCACCACCCACTGGCTTCGAGCCCTTGCCAGCCAACACTTAAAATAATTCTGGTACCCCCCCCCCCCACCAACCCCCTCTCAGGAAAATCAGGCCTGAGATTGGCAACCACTTGTAAGAAGATGGACTTCCCTACAGCAGGCTGGTCAGGTCATTGTTCTGATGCAGCCTTGGCAGGCAGCAAAAATGGAGTCATTCGAATGTTTCTGTCACTAGCTTTTTCTGATGGGTGTAGTGACTACAGTGCTTACTTTGGCGGGGCTGGCCTGCACCTCAGTGTGATGAACAAGACGGCAGGGAGTTGTCACTCACTTGTTCAGCTTTCCTGAGGAATGCTGACGGGGGAGGCAACATCGATCTGTGCCCTCTCCTAGGCACTTCCTAGAGGGTACCCCCCCCCCCAAGTCTGAAGGGCTGGACAGCCTCAGTCTCCAGTCGCCAGCTTGGGAGGCATCTGGAACCACACCCAGGACCCTGAAATAGGTCCAGTCTAATCAGGCTGTGGACCTACACGTGCTGACTGTCACAACCCAAAGGATCAATAAATCTTCCAGGACAGGGGCATTCCCCACTGCAGGAGGGAGCTACCTATTCCCATTGGACTTATAGCTGAGCCAACCCGAAGGGATGCCTGGCATGTCTTAAGTGTCATGGAAAAGGGAAACACCCCGAAGCCCAAGGAGCTTCCATCCCTGGCATTCCGGACTACTCTTGAGCCAGATGCCTTTGCCCAGGTCAACAGAGACTTGGAGAAAGTGATGGCAAGTTGAGGATGCTCTAGGAGCATGTAGTAGGGCTACCTGCAGCCCTCCTCCAAGGATGTATTTAGTTCCAGTGCCTTGGGTGTGCTTTGCATGCTGAGCCCTCCCCCAACCCCCTTGAGCTGCCCTTTAACTTCTCGGGGGTCCCCTCTCCGGGCAGTTCGGCCCCCACGGTTCTTCCCATTTTGCTTCTGGCTGTACCCATGTCCATCAGCTCCTCGCCATGCCTGGCTCCCACCTTATGCATGCCAACCTTATATATTTTTAACCATCTTTATATCCAGTGCAATACTTAATGATTCTATGTAGGGTCGTTCAACCAGCAGTTAAAAGAGATACTAGAAGAAACCACGAAGAAATCGGTGAGGGGTGAAAATAACTGAATGTAAACGTAACCTGCTTTGGATTTTGAAAAGGAGCTGTGACCCAAATCCATCTTCCCACTCTCACTTATGCCATTGAGTTGATTCCACACATAGCGGCCCGCTAGGTACCCCTTGGTCAGAGTGGAACTGTTCCCTCACGTTTCTGAGACTCTGCACGTTTTCAGGAGCAGACAGCCTCGGCTTCCTCCCTAGGAGCAGCTGGTGGGTTTGAACAGCTGAGCTTGCCGTTTGTAGCCCAGTGCGCCAGTGGGGCTTCTTAAATTGGTCCTAGAGGAGAGCGGTTTTCTGAGCAGAGCAGCGGGTATGGTGACTACTGGCCGCCTTTCCAGATATGTCCATCGATAATGCGGCCGTGGGTTTGGGCACTTCCTGAGTTCGGGTTGGAGCAGCTTGAGGCTTGGGATCCAGGTCTCCTGGAAGGGAAATGGGGCCCTGCATGAAGACACCCCACCGAGTGGAAGTCAAGGCGATGGCTAAGCTGGACCACTTCTTGTACTAAACAATCTCTGGGGCTCCAGAGGCTGCACTGTTGGAGGGCGGAGCCCTGGCATGAGGTGAGTGAGTTGGACACCAAGCAGAGCATGTGGATGGCTAACCGGGGGTGCCCAGGAAGTCTTTCCCATCTGACCAGGCTTAGGTGAGGCAGGGTCATTTGAAAATGATCGCCCATTTATTGGTCGGCTCTTGGCTGATGTTGAAACACTGGCTGTCCTTCACACCGCTTACTCCACCTGTTCCTCTGCCCTCGTTTTGAAAGGCTTTTTGTGGTCTCTCATTTCCCCTGCTCCCAATCCCTTTGACTCTTCTCCCAGCTACCGAGAGCGGCGAGCTGGGCTGGGCAGATAACCAGGAAGGTAAGCAAGCTAAGCCTCTGCTTATCACACCTATCCTTCTGCGTGCTTTGCTGTGCTCAGGATAGTCCCCCTCTGTCGGTAGGTCAGCTTCTCATCTGGCAGCGGCTGTGACCCAGTCGTTGGGAGGCGCTTGTTGAGGCCCACAGGTACCCAGGCTTTTCATTTGCGGAGTGTTCGAGGTCAGAGCATCCCGCTGCTTCCTCGGACTGTCTCCCCTTGACGTCTGAAGCCCTGATGGAGTGTTTGGCCTTTCCCTGTGCTAAGGTGATGTTTGGGGCATGACGAGCACTCTGGGCGCATAGCAACGGGTGCAGGTCATGCTCCATGAGCCCCGCATCCACGTGTGGACAGCAGTGGGCACTCTGAGTGTATTTTTGTAGCCAGTCGTGGCAGCTCAGATGCTGTGCCTACCATGCCTGATGACTTATACTTTGCGCAGCACTCCGCCTTACAGAATAACACGCTTTGACATGTAACATCGGAGCGCTACAAGCCTATGGTATTGACAAGGTGGGCATCTCCTATTTCATAACTGGTGAAACTGAGGCAAAGTGACCCTAGTCAGTAGGGAGCTGACACTCAGTGCCCCCAACCATGCCGTTTCCAGTCCACCAACTAAAAAAACCAAACAGACTGTGTTAGACAGGGTTCTCTAGGGAAACAAAACCAGAATACTAAAAATTTTATACATATTTATACAGATTGATAGATGTATAACATAAGAAACAAACAGTTAATTAAATTATAAAGCAGTACAAATGACTCAGTGCAACTCACTCCTGTGAGACAGTTGTGAGACACTGGCAGACCTTCAAGTCTTGAGGGCCGCCGGGTAGTCCTCTGTAGAGCAATTCAGGCTATCCGGGCACAGGCAGCAAACAGCAAGGCAGGTCACCAACAGTCAGCCAGATGACAGGGTCCGACGGTCCCCAGCTCAAGAGATGTAAATTCCAATGGTGTGGCGAAGCAGGTCTTGAAGGAACCTCAAATTACAGTGACACAGTCCATGGGTTAGGTGTCCCACAGGTAGTGTAGCTTGCAAATTGAGGCACAGAACAAGCAAGGCAGCCACACACTGGTCCGATGATCAAAGAGCAAGAGACAAGAAAGGCGAGGCTCGCCAAGCCATTTATTTCTCTGCCCTTCCATTAATCCCACATGTGTTCACCGGCCAGTTGGCACAATAACTACCTCACCAACCCAAACTCAGTGCCACCAAGTCGATGTCAACTCATAGCGCCCCATAGGGTCGGGTAGAACTGCCCCTGCAGGTCTCCGAGATGATAACCCTTTATGGGAATAGAAGGCCCCGTCTTGGTCCCTCTCCATTCTACCAGTCCATGTATGTGGCTGTACAAATCAGGAGGCGCTTGTAGTACAGCGCCGTGGGCCATACTCACTTGGTTGAGAAGTTCCAAAGAGAAACGGATAGTTGCTAGGTGGGTTGGCTCATTTGTTTGTGTTGTCTGTTGTGTGAGTTCAGTGGTCACGCTGTTGGTAAGGCCCACAGTGGTTCTTTCTCAGAGCGGTCACAGTAGACACTGTCATCATTGCCGGTAAACAGGGCCTGCCCTCCAGTAGCTGAACCTTCTGTTGCGAGGAGACTGGTAGCACATAAAGGAATAAAAGCAACACCAGGCGGTGATGGGGCTTGGGAGGGAAATAGTCAATGCGAGGGACTCTGTGGTGGGCAGCAGAGAGCCGGATGAGCGGAGAGGGTGGGCCTCCGGAGGGGCACTGCAGGCAGAGGAACAGTGCATGGGAGGCTTCGAGGCAGGAATGGGCCTGGCAAGAAGGCCATTGAGGCTGGAGTAGAGGGAGCAGCAAAAGAATGTGACATGGGACAGGTTAGCAAGGAACCTCCAGGTCAGCGGTTCTCAACCTGGGGTCGTGACCCCTTTGGGGGTCGAACAACCCTTTCACAGGGGTCGCCCGATTCATCACAGTAGCAAAATGACAGTTATGAAGTAGCAATGAAAATAATTTTATGGTTGGGGGGTCACCACACAATGAGGAACTGTATTAAAGGGTCACGGCATTAGGAAGGGTGAGACTTTAAATTTCATTCGCAGAGGGGTGAGGGACACTTTCAAGCAGAAAATCATGTCTATCCCTTATCTTCGCAAGATATTTGTCTCTTTGATCGGTGGCTCACCAGTTTGGGGAGTTCATAACCCGTGGGGGCAGGCGCATGCCCTCTGTTTAAGCCAGTTCTCTGAGGTTCAGGTATGTCTTCCTTCATGCCTTGTGAATGGAGGCATAGCCTGCCTGTCCTCTTGGACCGCCTTTTCAAGAATGTTCATGTAGCCAGCACCCGAGGCAGATATAGTCCCCCCCCCACCCCCCTGCCCTGGACTAGAGGCCTGATAGGCTCAATGCCCTGTACAGAGGGTCCAGGTTCCCTTCATTGAAGGTGCTTTGTCTCTAATGCAACCTGCTACATAATGCAGGGGCCAGCTGGTGCTCTATGCATCCCTGTGCGGACCTGTGGCCCAGGGGACCCACACCCCAAATGCTGATCTGCTATTGCTGTCATTGTGTTGGGGGGCTCTGACCCGGCAGTCTCCTGTCTTGCCAGCATCCATGAAACGCTGACAGGACAGCTTATTAATTTTAAGATTCTTGGCATTCTTCAAGTCGCTTCTAAACTGGCATCATGACCGAGATGTTGAACGTGAGTCAATGTTTGGCCTGTGGTTTTCAAACTTTATTTCCATTGTCTTTGGGATCCCGACCCCACCCCAACCCCCATTAAAGCTAGGTGCCCTTGAGTCAGTCCTGATGCACAGCGACCCTGCGAGGGCCTGCAGCGTCCCCAAAATTGTCCTTATGTGTGAGCCCGTTGTCACAGCCACCGTGTCAGTCCATCCTGTGAGGGCCTCCTCTCTCACTGCCCCTCTGCTGGACCCAGCGTGACGTCCTTTTCCAGAGATCGGTCTCGCGACACGGGTCCGAAGGACATGAGATAAAGTCTTACCATCCTCGTCTCTCTTCCAAGACAGCACTGTTGGCTCTCTCAGCAGTCCATGGTCCGTACATTCTACATGCTTCTCCGGCACCATAATTCAAATGCACTGACTTTCTTCTGCCTTCCTTATTCAGTGTACAACTTTCACCTGCAAATGATGCATGTGATGGAACTGAAAACACCATGGCTTGGATCTGGAACACTCGAGTTCTCAAAGTCACCTCCTTGCTTGTCAACACTTTAAAGAGGTCTTGTGTGGTAGATTTACCCAATGCAATGTGAAACCTATGTAGGAAAGTAAAATTCAATTAAAATAAAATTAAGGTGTCTGGGCAAAGTAGAGGCAGCAGCCTCGATTTCTCCAACTAACACAGCCTTCAGTCATTAATAG